TAGCAATGGGTGCATTGTAGATTTATACATTCCTTGTTGAGTTTATCTTGGGTATCTTAGATATTTAAACTTTGTAAAGTGGAATATTGTTTTCATGATATTTGCCCCTGTTATTTGCCTTTTATAAAGTTATGTACGTTTTTACTTTATTGAATATTTAAATTTTCATTGTGTGCATAATTATGCCCACAGTATCTCTTTAATACTTTATTGGGTCTTGGAGCTTCATAATCATTTCACATGCAAGAATAATTTCCAATATCATTAGCACTCATTTCTGTTTCTTATTTTATGGCAATAGCTTTCTTTCTAAAGTAAGTTAAACATAATAGAGATCACTGTTGTTTTAAACACAACTTTAAATATAGTATCTTTTAAAATGTGAGGTTGAGAGTTTTATTTTTAAACTTTTAATTGTGAATTGGGTGGTTTACAGAGCAGATCATAAATCCCACATTCAACAAATGTATACAAATATCGTTTCATCTCATTTATTCTAAGCACCTCAACGTTACATCATTTATCCCAATTGCTTCCTGTGTTTCCTTTCTCCTTCCTTTTCAGCTCTCTGACCGTTGAATGTTGTTCTGGGATGCTTAAATATGTATGTGATGTGTAGCGTGAATACATTTCTTAAAGTAAACCCTGTTTGGCCAGGATGGATGTCTTCTATTTAGTTGAATTTGTTTTGTTTGCTTTTAATTTATTTCAGATTTTGGTTTGTATATTAGTATGATCTGGATTTAACTTCTGGGTTCTGTTTTTAGATTAGAAATGTGAGAACTTCTTTAGAGGAATTGGGTTGATTCAGGTCTTTTGTTACAGTGTACAGATAGTATGTTTCCTTATTCTTTTGTATTGTAAAGTTGTCAAAATTAACATATCGTAAATTCGTAAAAAATAACAGATATTTCTCACACTGACTTTTGTTTTCCACCCTGGATAAAAGATGTTATGCAATGTGTTTCAGAGCTACATTGTTGTCAGTATTAGTTGCCAACATTCATACGAAACAAAATAAAAAACAACAAAACTCTATGTCTTTTTAGAATGTACTACTTCCGATGAACTTCTGCTTGTTAGGTAACCACAAGCATTATTTAGATTTTTGTTTTAGTTACAGTTACCAGAAAACATAACTTCTGCGTGATTTGAACAAAATATCTTTAACTCTTCATCATTGCAAGATGGTTGTGGTTGCCCCAGGTCTCCCCATCCTCACATCGCCTCAACTGTGGGCAGAGAAGCATCCAGCCTTCATTGACGTCTTCTTACAAAAGCATAATGAAAAACAAACAAACAAAAAAACAGAAAACAAAAGCAAAACAAAAAAACACCACAAAAGCATAACCACCTTCTTGAGATGTTCCCCAGAAGACATACCCCTCAGATCTTGTTGGAAAGAATGGTGCTAACGCTCAGCTCTAAATCAGTCACTTGTAGAATAAATGCATTTCCATATTTGGCTTCGGTTAGAATTCCAACCCTGCCGTCACATAAAACCATCTGGGCAACAAAACATAGTGGGGTGCGAGTCTGCTATTCCTTCTTTTTAAAAGTTCTCGACTACTGTCTGGGCAAGGTGAAGAATTGTTGCTCAGATTTATCAACTTTCAAAAGCCAGATACTGGAGCTGAGAAGAGACCCATCCTCTTAGTATTCGATAATTAGTACTGCATACATTTGCACATATGCCACCATCATCATTTTCAAAGCATTCTCTTCCCAGTTGAGCCCCTGATATCAGCTCCCCATTTCTTCCCCCTGCCTCCTCCCCACCTTCCCTCACGAACCCTTGATAAGCTAGATTATTATTTTCATATCTTACATCATCTTCTGTCATCCTTCACCCACTTTTCCATTTTTTGTTCCCCTGAGAGGGGGTGATAGGTTGATCCTTGTCATTGTTTCCCCATTTCTGCCCCCCACCCTCCCCTAATCCTCCTGGTATCTCTACTCTCATTGTTGGTCCTGAGGGTTTATCTATCCTGGATTCCCTGTGTTGCTGGATCTTACTGTAGCAGTGTGCATATTCTGGTCTAATCCGATTTGTAAGGCAGAATTGAGGTCATGATATTGGGGGGGAAGGAAGCACTAAAGAACTAGAGGGAAGTTGTGTGTTTCATTGGTGCTATACTGCCCCTGACTGACAACATAAGACATTCTTAACCCTGGAATAGGTCTGAGTCAGGCTGAAGACCTATGGTTTTACACTTCAAGACCCATGGCGGAGGAAATGAAACCCACAAGCAAGGACATCTCTTTGAATATTTTATTTACTCATCACATTCTGAGAATTGTTAATGGGCATCAGAGAAAGTATAATATTCTCAATAGCTTATGATAATGCTAACTTATGCAGTACTAATTTTCAAATACTAAGAGGATGGGTTAATTGCACACCAGTAGCAATTGACTTCATGTATATTTTCATAATACACAGAGCTTGAAATGCTTCCTTTCAAGTGGTTCAAATTTCTCAATTTAGCTGCAAAACTGAGAAATCACTTTCATTTGATGCTATTCTTCTATAGAGCTATACAGATAATTTTCAGAGTTTAGTCATGTGTAAGTCATAGATTTGCCAATACCTTTTATTGGTCATTAAAAATTACTTGCCAGTGCACCACCTCATAGCTTTTGAATTGTCCTTAAAAGGGGAGCAATTTCCTGATCCAGCACCTAAGTTTTATTTTGCAGATTTCTGAAGACTTTAAATAGGAAAGTGTAGTTTATTTATTTTATCTATCTAAAGGATAAACATATTTATTAAAGGAGGAAGGGGATACACACCAAGCCCCATCTCTTTGGAAAAAGGTGTCTTAATTCCACTAGAGATAGGTTTTGTAATCGTGTAAAGATTTAGTCTGGAAAACCTCCGGGGGAGTTCTAGTGTGTTCTGTAGGGGTGACTCTATGAGTCAGAATCACAAGACCGCCATAAGTTTGGATGGGAGATTTCATTCTCACAAAGCATTCTCTGTGATCCCTACATATTGCTTGTTTCCTTTTCAGTGAGGAGCTGCTACAGTGTTTTTATGTAATGAGTGTGTGCATTTTGAGGTTTTCAAACTGTGCAACAACCTTGCTTGTTACTTTCCTATGTGCTACTATGTTACATTTGAGGGGGTACTCCCCAAATCAGAATTTTTTTTTAACACAACTTTATCACCTTCAGAGTATTCTCCATTACACTTAATACATTTGTTAAATCTGTGATTCAATTCTTGGAAACATTTTTCAAACTCATCTTTTTGTATGGTTGACAGCACCTCTCTTGTTTTTTTCTTCACCTCTTCTGTCATTGAATCACAATACCTTTTATTGTCATTAAAAATTCTGCATTCTCACAAACAAAATGAAGCTTCACAGAACGAGGTTAGGTGGGTCAAGTTTGTGGAGAAAAAGAGGCATGCTACTGTTTGCCCCAAACTGGTGCACTGAGATGGCTGCATGAGCAGGTGCATTGTCGTGGTGGCAAAACCAATCCCCTATCTTCCACAAATCAGGCTTTTTTGCCTCACACTGTTATGCAATCTTTTCAGAACTTCTAACTAGAAAGCTAGATTAACAGTCTGACCTGGTGGCATGAACTCCAAATGCATTATTGCTTCACATAAAAAAAACCCAAATGCACATGCAAGAACACTTTGTTCTATTAAACTGGCATTCCATGATGCTCACCTTCCTGACATGATCACTGAAGACAAAACGGGTGCATAAGTAAATGTGGTGAAGATAGCTGATGGTGCCCGGCCATCAAAAGATATAGCATCTGGCTTGAAGATAAGCAAGCAGCCACATGTAGCTCAGAAGCAACAAAGCCCACAAAGAATAAGCACACCAGCCTGTGTGATCATGAGGTGTCGATGGGATCAGGTATCAGGCAAGAAAGAACAAACCATCATATCATTGTGAATGAAGGGGAGTGCAGAGTGGGAACCCAAAGCCCATCTGTAGGCAACTGGACATCCCCTTATGGAAGGGTTGTGGGAAGGAGACAAGGCAGTCAGGGTGCAGTAGAGCACCAATGAAACATACAACTTTCCTCTAGTTCTTAAATGCTTCCTCCCAACCCACTATCATGACCCTAATTCTACCTTAGAAATCTGGCTTGACCAGAGCATATACACTGGTACAGATAGGAACGGGAAACACAGGGAATCCAGGACAGATGAACTCCTTAGGACCAGTGGTGAGACTGGTGATTCTGGGAGGATGAAGGAAAGGTGGGATAGAAAGGGGGAACCAATCACAAGGATCTATATGTAACCTCCTCCCTGGGAGATAGACAACAGAAAAGTGGGTGAAGGGAGACATCAATCAGTATAAGACATGAAAAAAAATTATACATTATCAAGTGTTCATGAGGTAGGGGGCTAGGAAGGGAGGGGAAAATGAGGAGCTGATGCCAAGGGCTCAAGTAGAAAGCAAATGTTTTGAGAATGATGATGGCAACAAATGTACAAATTGCTTGACACAATGGATGTGTGTATGGATTGTGATGAGTTGTATGAGCCCCCAATAAAATGTTTAAAAAAAACCCCAACCAAATGCACATTGGTTTTTTTTTTTGGTACCATCATTGATCTGCATCATATTTACATTGGTGTGTTATTTGAAGACAAGGTTGTAATTACTTAATGAAACCTTTTTGTCTGGGAGGACATTCATACTTTCAGATAGTCTCAGGTTGCTTTCTATCCTATAATAGTTTCTTAAGATTCTGTCCCTTGAGAGAACTTCTGGCTTCTCAAGATGTAGATCTGAGTGTGACTTCAATCAAGGATTGAGGGCCCTCTTGCTTTACTTCAAATGGCAAGTTAGTATGTTCCAGAACACAGGGCAGTCCACGAAGAATGAGGGTACAGAGGACACACATATTTTTGTAAAGTGACACTGCTTTCATCATGGCTGTACTTTTGTGGCCTGACAGAGGCTTAGAGAGTTCCCCATGGCAATGGCAAGTGAGTGCAGCCCAAAGAAAAGACACACACCAACTTTATTTGAAAAGAAACTGTTTATTAAGAAATTATATGCGGAATTCTCCTACGGTCTGTGAACATGGTTTCTTCCATCTCCACAGCACAAGACAGCTAGGAGCATCTGGGAACCACTGGTCACGCTTGGGCCTGGAGACGCCCTCGTTCTAGGAGATGAAACCCAGTGACTTGTGTACTAATTCAAATGTTTGCATCCAAAGAAAAGACAATCTTTTACCACCCAGTTCTCACCTAGACCATTACTGAAACCTCTCCATGGGATTTCCATAGCCCCGTTTGAAGCATTAGGTCATACTTAGGTCAGTTCAGTTCAGTAGAGCAGAGCGTTCTCAACACGGTCACAGTCAAATTGACAGTCCTTTCACTCAGGAGGATGCCCCAAACATCTGCAATCTTCCTTCCAAGAAACGGTGCTTACCGAGGGCAGAAATAGGGACTCTTCAAGTATTTTATCCTTATGAACTGGAGTATTTAGAACTATAAATTATAAATAAATTATAAAAACTAGCATACGATATATTTTTTTCTTACATGACAGTGTTGGAAATAAGCTGTAAACGAAGAATTGCAACATCACCTGACTTTATATGTGATCAACAGCCCAACATGCTAATCATAAAAATAGCTTTTACAAATATACATTTGTATACAGTGTTTCCCTTGCCATTCATAAATGTCCTTCCTTCACATTTATTGACTTTAAGACTTAAAAACAAACCCAAACAAACATAATTAGCTGGGAGGAAAACACATTAACAATATAAACCATAAAAACCTGACAATTATACAGTTTAGAACATAGAAGAAATGGAATTTCTAAATTTAAATGATACTGTCCATTTTATTTATTTGGGTTTTTATATAAACTGAACCAAAGCTGCAGCTGTCCAGTCAGAAACCACCTTTCATGTTTCCGGGGGTTGTCACAGTTTCTCTGTGCTGTTTTCAGGGTGTCTGTCACGCATCCCTTCAAATCATTTTATCTGTAGAAACTGGGAAAAGAAAAACAGATTGAAAACATAGGGATGTGTGTTGCATTGTTATCGTGCATACATTCAATGGAAAGACTCAGGATAGGCATAAAGAACTAGATCTGTAGGATAAATACATTTGTTGATAGCTTCCCAGCTTCTCTCTTGTAACCAAATCTAAAATTATTTATACTATGTTGTGATTTCCCCCCACTCCCCAAACGCCCGCCCAACCACCATTTGGCTGTCAGTTCATTGTACTGGTTGGCTTATGTGCTTCTGTCATATTGAAGGCTATGTCGCTGGTATTTCAAGTGCCAGCAGGGTCAACCAAAGCGAACCTGTTTCAGCAGAGCTTCCAGATTAAGAGCAGACTATGAAGGAGGAACAGGACTACTGAAAACCCTCTGGATAGCAGAAACACCTTGTCAGTTACGGAAATCCTCATGAGCAGTGCCAGAAGTTGAGTCCCTCGGATGGGAAGTCACCCATACTACGACTTAGGAAGAGCTGTCCCTTCCACGTAGAGTTGACCATCATAATGCAGATGGAGTAAAGCCTGCGGTCCTGCGGAACCTGTACATGGCTCAGGAGGCAGGTGTGTGAACAGAACCAGGTCGTACCGCACAGTCTAACATGAAGTAAAGTGTGCATCAGGACCTACCCTCTCACCACATTTATTCACTCTATATGCTGAGCATATAATCAGAGAAGTCAGGTTATACAAAGAAGAATACGGCATCAGAAGAGCAGGAAGGTTTAATAACAATCTGAGATATGCAGATGACACAACCTTCGTTGCTGAAAGTGAGGGGAACTTGAAGGACCGGCTGATGAAGATCAAGGGTTTCAGCCTTCAGTATGGATTACAGCTCAGTGTAAAGATATTCCAAATCCTCAGAATGGGACCAATAGGTAACATCATGATAAATGGAGGAAAGGTTGAGGTTGCAAAGGATTTTGGCTTGCTTGGACCCACAATCCATGCTCACGAAAGCAGCAGGGAAGAGTTCAACCGATGCATTGCATTGGGTAAATCTGCTGCACAAGACCTCTTCAGAGGGTTGAAAAGCAAGAATGTTCCTCGGAGGACAGATGTGCCTGACTCAAACCAGTGCATTTTCAATGGCCTTGCATGCAAGTGAACGTTGCACAAGGAAGAAGGGAGAAAAACCATTGCATTTGGACCACGCTGTTGGTGAAGACTATTGAAAGGCACACAGACTGCCGGAACAACAAACCGTTCTGTCTTGCAAGAAGTACAGCCATGATGCTCCTTCGAGGCAAGGTTGGTGAGACCTCTTCTCAAGTCTGGGACTTTGGATACGTTATGGGGAAAGATGAGTCTCTGGAGAAGCACATCACACTTGGTAAAGTAGAGGGGCGGCCACAAAGAGGAAGGCCCTTAATGAGATTGATTGACACAGTGGCGGCAACATAAGAAACATGAGATGGCGCAGGACCAGACCGTGCTTCGTTCCGCTGTACACAGATCTGGTATGAAACGGAACTGACTCAACAGCACATTAACGACAACAACATGATCTTTTTTTTTTTTTTGGATAACCCAGAAAATATACTGCTCGGCATCAGCCATTGCTTTTTCAACCCGATCTCTTTTGTTGGGCAGGGAGAAGATACTGAAGCTCTAGGCTAAGGAAAGAGATTTGTGTGGCCTTTGAGGCTGCTGCCCCTAACAAGAATGACCTTAGGATGCTGTCTTCCTCTATGAGGCTTTGAGCAGTTCAGTCCTCAGTCTCCAGCATCTGCAGCACGAGGAAATGCTCAGGCAGTCTCTGATATGTGGTCCGCAGTCGTGGTTAGGAGAGCATGCAGCACGGAGGGCACTGAATGACGTTGCAGTGCTCAGGAACATGTGGCTGTTGTTTGTTAGGAGCTCTGGCACAACAGAATGAAATGCTGACCATTCCTTCCCCTTCCTCACAATCTTTATCTTTGAAATGACCGTTGCAGCCACTCTGGCAACTCATCTTGCCCAGAGTCTTCATCTCTTTTTGCTGACGTTCCACGTTACCAAGCAGAAACATTACACAAGAGCCAAAATTCAACAGGGCGAAGAACTGAATGAAGAAGCTGAAGCTGAATCTGAATAAATACATAATATCAGACACTGTAAGACTCTGTAAGTGGGGAAAGGCTCTTATTTCTCTTATAATGAAGTTTAAAATAGAAAGGAAAGTTACACACATTGCTCCCTAATTCTAAGGATCTAGATAAACAAAGTGAAGTGTCTGTCGGCAGAGTCAAAGACAGGCAAATCACGGTATCGGGTTGAATGGGAGTCAATGGCTCCTACAAACAGTCAGAAGGAGCTCTAATGGCAGAGTGAGTTGTGCACTGAGCTAACCACAAGGTCAGTGGTTCAAACCCACCAACTGCTCTGTGGAAGAAAGGTGAGGCTGTCTGCTCCATAAAGATGTAAAGTTTCAGAAACCTCTACGGGACCCTCTGAGGGTCGCTATGAGTCAGAATCGACCTGCTGGCAGTGCGTTTGGTTTGGGTTTGGTTATGATTAGTCAGAGATTTAAGTAACTTGACTTTTCATTGAAACGTTGACAGAATGCAGAGCTAATTAAAAGACGGAATATGGCAATTGCCGGGTAAGGACTGCACTGATAGGCGCAGCGTCAGCTCTCGTGCCTGACCAAGACTGCTGGTTGAGAAGAATTGAGCTGACACAGAGGGCAATTTCTCTCCCGTCATAGGTACACATCGTTCAAACTTAGAAAAAGATACATCTACATAAGTTCAGTTAACAGAAATGGTGTCTTCCTTAGTGAGTACTCTCGTGTAAGTCTAGGAAAGTTTAAATTTAAAGATAAGTGTTTTTGAGAATCATAACCACTGTACTAATGTATTTGTGGTAAGAATACATCTGTGAACACCTGGTGCCTCTTCTGTGATTTAGAGTGGCAGTCCTGTAATTTCAGTTTAGAATGTGCAATTGAAAAATTGATTGAGACACAGGATTTCAGTCCTATGTTTTGAAATCTTACTTAGTTTGTGCATGATATTGGAAAACCTGGGAAAACACGAATCACATTTTATTGGATTTTAAGAATGATTTCATTGTGAGGATTTTACAGGTAAATGAAATGCTTAAAGAAAACACAATTACATTAAATTTATAAATGCTACTTACAATGTGTGAGTACATTCATATTACTAATATGGGACATGTATTATTCAAAGACCTCAAAGAAGTACTTTGAAAAATCTGTTGTCTTTATAAATGTAACAATCATAAAAAATTTGTAACAATTTTGATTTTAAAGCTTTCATGAATTGAGCTCAACTTAAAATAACCCAATTATACTCCTTCAATAGTCTTACTTATCTCTGCAAGCATAAAAAAACTTTATTTTTGTAGGAAGAAAATACCTTCACGGCCAAAACACAGGTGCATTCTGATGTTCTGATATTCCTTCTCTGTAAGCAACCCTCCCACAGTCCTCTCTTCCTCCGCCCACCCCACCTCCATCTTTGCCCCTGTCTCGCTCCGCCTAGACGCCCTGCCTGCCACCCAGTTTTATTTTCAGAATATGCTGCTCTGAGGCTCCAGGCTGTGTTCACGCACATGTGAGAGCTCAGTTAGTCTTTTTTAAAATGTTAATCATTTTATTAGGGGCTCATGCAACTGATCAGTTCGTCTTTAAAGCACAAAGTTGTGAATTTGGGGCTCATACAACTGGTCAGTTCGTCTTTAAAGCACAAAGTTGTGAATTTATCGTACAAAAGACATGCCACTTTTTTTGTGTGTACTGTAAAGGAAAATTTATATGTTGTCTGCATTCACATCCAAGCTATCCATTTTCAGTGAGAAAATGGATAATTTAAGTGAAATCAAACTAATGAACAACATATAGATTGATACTCACCTGCCAAATTATCCTTTTCAATGTAAAAATTGGTAACTGATTTGAAAATCAAATTGAATTAACTCAAAGATAATTGACACCATTTGTGTGCAGGAAGAAAATGATTACATTACACTCCTTCTCTGATTGCAATTACACTATTTTCTTGTCATCCATTAATTGCTTTCTTTATTATTAATAGAAAATACTTAAATGGTTGCAGCAGTCATGTGTGTAGAGTTAGCTAATCATTATGGTATCTCCCAGGCTGAATCACGGCAGGTGACATCAGTTAATATGCTCTGACATCATTCTGTACCTCCCAAATGATGGGGGACAACAGGCGTACAACCCTCCGTTCTATTTATGAAAACAAACAAACCAGCCTACGTGTACATGCCGTCACCTCGAGTGTGGTTCCCCCATACTCCGTTCTTGGATCCTGAGTGCTAAATGATTATATGAAATATAATAATATATAAAAATCGTCATTCTGGGAAGTAGAGAAGCAGGTTTGAGAATCATTTTTGAAGCCGCATTTCCTTGCCACAAATCTCCAAAGCATTTGCCTGTCACTACATAAAACAAAAGCTTCATTAATTTCTCATTCTAAAGTAGGTATTACTACTCATAGGGCTACAAATCAAGAGAAATATTCTCTTATCCAAAATTAGTGGCAAAATATATTCACAAACCGCCCCCTGGTGTCCTGGTCTTCCAAGAGGATGGCTGATTGCTTCTAGAGGACTGGGGGAGAGGGAGCGAACTCGGATATTCTTGCTACCTTTCCCTCCCTTACAGGGCTGATTGGCTTGCCTTAATGTGGAACTAATTGGGCTCTCCCCTTGAATAGCGGGTAATTGATCTACTGGCTGAAGGAGAGCCTGGGTGCTTTGAAAACAAATTCTCCTGATGATGAATGGTTTTCCATGCTCAGTCTCACCCAGTCCTGAACAACGACCACTCAGAGGGACTGGGTTTACTGAATCAAGCAATTTACTTCTAGTTGACAAAGATGAAAAGGATAGTCTTACTTTACAGGGCAAGTACATTTAATTGGAAACTTCATGCATTCCTAAGTTTGCCACGAGTAGGCCAGCCAGGTGTGGACTGAGACACCTCTGTACGGTTCTACCCAAGAAA